CTTCTTCTTCTTCTTCTTCTTCTTCTTCTTCTTCTTCTTCTTCTTCTACTTCTTCTTCTTCTGTTTGTTTTGGTTTGGGTTATTTTCTGGGCTAGCTCGTCCACACACAGTTGCTGAGAACAACTAGCCTCAAGGGCCATTTCATATCCGGTTCTGAATCTGTACATGGCTCCTTACTGTCTCACCGCACCCCCTTCTTTAGCCTCATCACCTGCTATAGCACCGCATGATCCAAAGGCTCAGATTATGCTCCATCTGCCTACATACGTGTAGATGCCAGAAGACAGTCACACTGCTGTTCCTCAGGTACCATCCACTTTGGTGGGTCTTTTGGTTTGGTTGATTTTGGTGTTTTGTTTTGTTCTTTTAGACAAAATTTCTAAGTGGCCTGAAGCTAAGTAGGCTTGGCCAGCTACTTAGCAAGCCTTGGAGCTCCTATCTTTTCCTCAGAATTGGGATCACATATGCATCACACTGACCTGATTGCCTAGGTTCTTGGGGTCACGCACCAATCCTCATGATTGAAAAGCAAGCATGCTATCAACTGAACTATATCCCTAGGCTTCAGATCCCTTCCTTACCTGGTCCTTCACTCACCAGAAGACTCTTGTTCCACTGTCTTGTGACAGTATTTCTGTGTGTCTTCTCTCGTCTCTGAACAAGTCTTTTCCATCTAACTGTAGTGTTATGAATGTGAAAAGTCCTTTATGGACTCATGCATTTAAGAATGAGCTTGTGGAAACTTAAACATGAGGCCCAGTGGTAAGGTAGTGGCATGCAGGAGGGAAAGAGGGTTGCCTGGGTTCTGGCCAAGCTCTCTGCTTCCTGACTGCCACCAGGATATAAGCAGCCACCTCACAGTCCCACTGTTGGGAGCCATGGTACCACTCATAGCCATGCCTACCACTTGCTTCTTGCCGAATATTTGTTTAAGAAATGAGAGAGGCATTGTCCTTCCCTGAAGAGTCCCCCATCATCTTTGTTTCTTTGCCATTTTGGTGACATTCCCTACATTGGTCTTCAGTGACTTGATGTTTATGCAGAGTTCACAATTATTCCTGTTCAACTTTTTTTTTCTTCTGTACTCTATGTGTCGAAACGCCATGCCCCTCATAGCCTCTCCCGATGTCAACTGCAGTACATACCATGCACAGGACTGTGAGGGAAGATAACTGACTTGGAGTGGCTACTAATCCAATAGTAGCTAGATTCGATTTCCTCATCCTACTTCTGCTTTCACCTAGTTCTCTGTGCCCATCACAGTTAGGCCATATACTGAGGGTTGGGCCTGAAGATGGAGCTCATGCTCTGAGCCTGTTGCTTGGTCACAGGCCAAGGCTAAAGGGAGCAGAGCATTCAGCTTGCTCTGCCAATGACTTCTTCAACTAGCGACCTTTCCTGGTTTTTATTTCCAGCTCTGCAAATCAGGCAGAAGGTCACTTGGTCATAAAATCTCATGATGAGAAATGTACCATCTTATCTTCATAAACATGACAGTCTCTGTCGTGTCAGGTGGTAAGACAGTTACTACATCATGATAAGGATGACAAGATCTTTGGTCACATTTCCTGGGCAATCATTGCATACAAGTGAAGAATAAGACAAGTTGACCTCTCTCCAGACACCACCTTCGTCTAAGTAAGGGTAGGAGGGTAAAAGAAGAGTTTAGAAGAGAAGTGTCCTCATCTCTTTTGTCATTAATGAAGGGTGATAAGGTGTTTCTCTAAAAACTTGTTTTGAGGGCTCAGAATATAAGTAAGGGTTTACCTCACCGGATCCAATAGTGTTCATGATGCCCTGAGCAAAATTCCTGTGCTTCTTCCTGAATCCTGGGTCTTGAGATAGACTTTGGAGTTGTACTGGTGACTTGGGGTATCGGGACTTCTAGATGCTGCTTTGATATCCTCCAGGCTACAGAGTGTCTGTGTGTCTATAGAGTACCTGTCTGTCTACACAACACCTATCTACAGAGAGCACCTGTCTATAGAGAGTGCCTGTCTGTCTTCAGAGTGCCTGTCTACAGAGAGTGTCAGTCTACAGAGAGCGCCTGTCTGTCTACAGAGTACCTTTTTACAGAGAGTGAGTGCCTGTTTGTGTACAGAGTGCCAGGGGCACAGCAAAGACATCAGTTGTCTTTTTTTCCTGGGAAGAGGCAGAATGAAGGTACCAATACACAACCAAGCACAATTCTAACCATAAGTAACATGCAGGTTAGTCTTCTGGTGACACAGACTGATAGCTATTCAAGGTGTAAGGGAGGGGGAGAAGGTGTACACAAGAAAGACCGAAGGTGAAATGGTTTTTTTTTCCTACCAATACTACCCTGTTACAATGAAATTCTATACTTTCAGTTATCTGATCAAAGGAAGGTCAGGGTCCCACCACTACTGTGTTCCACCCTGACTCCTCCAGCTCTTCCTTTTCTTACTCAGAGGCTACCAGAAAAAGATTCTGCCACACCAGCAGCAGGGTCATGAACCAGGAAGGGGATCTCTTTGGTGAGATTATGCTATGGGATTAAGTCAGTCCACCAAATTAAAAGGGTAGTTTCAAGTTCACACAGCAATGGCCACAATCTCTCTCAGGGAAATTCTCCTTACAACCCGAATGTTTCTTTTGGTATGGATGGGTGACTTCCATGCTTGTGGCTGTGTCTCCTTCCTTTCACTTCATTACACTGCCTCTGAATGAGATATGTATTATTGTTTTGCCTAGTAAAATGAATTAAAATAGTTCAGCTTGGGCATCTCAGAAGTTCTTGCTGTCATGGCTGAATCAGAGCTGGGAATCCCTGCAGTCAGAATGACCACGTTTAATTTGATTGATTGCCACAGGGTCTTGGGCAATTAACTCAGTCTGAGTCATTTTCTCATCTAAAAATGAGGATGACACTACCCAGCTGGATAGACAGTTGGTAACCATAAATGTGATGTGTGTAGGTTAACTGGCACACACATACCCAAGCAGTGGTAGACTTCATGTGATGCATTAACATTTGATTCGAGGTGTCATGGCATGCAAGGGACTCAACAGTTTCTTCCTAAGGCTTCACTTTTCCACCAGTCACCAGAGGCTTAGAAGTAACAAGGGCAGAGATGGAGAGCTGAGCAGAACAGACAGTCAAAGAGGAAAGCAAAGAACAGGAAGGAACATTCCAAATGAAATCACACCCTTGGACTCCAAAGACAAGGGCTGGGTTTGCCAAGCTTTAGTCATTGTTGGGGATACAAGCTGTAGAATACGTGGCTGCGATCCTCTCCCAGGCAGGCACTGTATCTGGCTAGACAGCGCTGCTCCTTCTGGGGAAACAGCTCAACCAACACATCCTCCATCCTGCCTCAGGGAAGGGGTGGGTGCAGAAGACATGAGACCTTCATGAGCTGAAACTCTATCTACACGAAATCTTTAGGATCCAATGGTGCAGGGTGTAAAGATGAGGCGGGCTATTGGTAGCGTCGGGTCTTCGGTAATCTTCCAAATAATAATGACTACAAGCAACTTTCAAGAACAAAGGACACCTCTGTCAAGACACACACAAATGCAGACCCTGCCCTCTTCAGAAGCAGGAACACACCCAGCTCATGCTTAGAAACCAGGACAAATATACGCATTTTTCTAAGATCATCTGAAGAACTAAGCTCACTTAATTTCCTGTGCCTTGGATCAACTCCAAGTAAATTTAAGAATAATAAAAAGTTTAACCAGGATAGAATCAACCCTTGAGAACTGGGTACTGGTTAGAATATCATAATGTACGTAGACTCAAGCTTAAGAAATTGGCAGCTTCAGGATTCAGTCATATTAAGAACAAAAGGGCACAAAAAAAAAAAAAAAAAGAACAAAAGGGCATGAGGAATTTCTAGTCATTGAGATGGTGATGACGAGGACAACACAGGCGGAGACAACGCTGCACTTCCCGATACCTGAACCCCAGGGCAATGATATCTGTCTGTCTGCCTGAGACTGGACAGATACGGGTCTTGAGCTCATCCCTTGCCGATCTCAAAGCCATCTAACTGGAAAATCTACCTTCTGACTGCTGGGGCCCTGGAGAGAGGTGTTGGGCTAGACACCTCAGGGAGAGTTCATCTCTGAATAGCAAAAACGGACGAAAGCAACTATTTCTTTTCTCCCTCTTTTTAAGAATTATTTATTATTTTATGTGTATGGGTGTTCTACCTGCATGAATGCATGAATGCATCCCGCATGTATGCCTTAGTGGTCGTGGAAGCCAAAAGAACACATCAGATCACCCTAGAACTGGAGCTACAGACCACGTGGGGGCTGGGAACTGAACCTAGGTCCTCCTGAAGAGTGAGAAGTGCTCTTAACCACTAAGCCAACTCTCCAGCCCAAGGAAACAACTCCTAAATGTATTACATGTATTAGCAGCATATTAACCAGGAACTATGCCAGTTGGTGTATGTGATCCAGATGTATGCGTTATCACGTGTATACATTTTTAATGACGAAAACGACCCACAAGTTAATGTTTCCTTCAGTTTGGATGTGTCTTTTAAACCCTGGAGACCCTCATAGAGAAATAAAAACATTAGCCCCCTTCACTAGTTACTCCAGTGCAGTATGCTGTGTTGACTAAAGATAAGAGGTAGCCAGGCATGAGGGTGCACACCTTACTTTAACGCTAGCACTTTAGAGGCAGAGATGGGTGGATCTCTGTGAGTTTGAAGCTAGCCTGGTCTACATAGTGATATCCAGGTCAGCCAGGGCTACATATGGGTTAAAGTCTGATGGGATGGCTATGAAAAGGTACTTGTAGAGCAAACCAGATGACCTGAGGTCAAACCCCAGAGGCCTGTGATGAAAAAAAAAAAAAAAAAAAAAAAACTCCAAAGTTATATTCTAACTTCCCCAAGCACGTGGTGGGTGCATTCTCTCTCTCTCTCTCTCTCTCTCTCTCTCTCTCTCTCTCTCTCTCT